CACAATTTGAGTTGAATTACTGAAATAAATGAACTTTTCCACGACATTCTAATTTATTGAGATGCACCTGTAGTCCTCAAAATGTGTTATGCTGTGGAAAGCAGTTATACAGAGAGCTTGTCTGTTCTGTCAGACCAGAATGAATGTGTCCATTTATGACTTGCGTTTCTTCTCAGGGTGACTGAAAGTGGCGATCTCTACACACGTGTAATACTTCTCAGCTGTCTGTCACACAGCGAGCATATGATGTCACAACCTTGTCCAGCTTTTCCTGGGCTTGAAACAAAATGGAAAAGCAAACACCTGTAGGTGTAACATCCCCTCTCATGCGATGTCAAGCGGGCTGCAGGAGAGCACGGTCAGTACTGGGATGTATGCATGTGGCAGTTGAGTCTGGTATTTCACACATCTGTGAGGGCAGTGTGTGGCTGTAAACGGTAACAACATTGCCTTGCTGAAGCCTCAGTCTTCCTTTCACTGCTCAGCAACTATTCAGATCTCAAAATTCATCATCTCGTGTCATATATATTTTTTAGATGCTCTGGTTGTCAAAGTCAAAGCATCTGTGGCAAAATATGAGAGAACTCTGAAACTAAACTAGGTATTACTGTTGTATATAGATATGATTGGTGGTAATATCTGATTTCTGTGGAATGGAAGCCACATTTCATATACAGTTGTAAGAAAACATCTGAACCAGTATTATCGTTTACTAAAACTGAAACTATTAAAATAATTTTCTAGAATATAAATGAAGATGAAATCAAATAAAATATAAATATGAGATGAAAACTAAACAAAAATTAGAAATGGTGACTATGCAACCAAAAGAAATAAGTCTAAATTGAAGTACTAAAATTACTAATACTAAAACTGACTAGGATGTGTGATGTATCGGTATCACATTAGTATGTAAAACAATTGATTTTAGTCTTTAGTGTTTTAGTTTTAATTTAAAATAATGTTGCTTTTTTTCCTTCAAACTGGCCATTTATGGGTTATCAGCCATTCAAATTATATATCCTTTTTTTTCAATAAAGACATGGAAATTAGTCATTGTGTGTATATTAGTTGTCTTTATGACTTGAAGATTAGATCAAATTTTATGACCAGTTTATACATAAATTCAATATAAATCCAATGGTTCATATACTTTTCCCTACAACTTTCACTTTTAAAAATAACCTGAAGTCATCATTCATCGTACCGTTTTATTTCCACACGTATAGCAGGTTTGCCTGGTGATTTGATCTGTTTGTTGCTGTCTGTTACAGTACAGTGGTGGGAGCTGCATGAATTACAGGATCCCTTTTAACCATGAGTTAGCAGGAGCTCACTGCAGAAAATTAAAAGCTAGAGCAACTTCCTTTTAACTTCCCGCGTAGCCTCTCATCTCATGCCAGTGCCTTAATGAAAAGTAAATTATTAGTCTCTGGCTTCCTTTTTTGCCACAGACAGTTTACAGTGGAGATTCACCTTGATTCTTTATTGAAAACATTTTATGCTATTGTACGCTCCAAATAAACATAAGGGTAGTCTGTATACACAGTGGTTTCATATTGTTCAAATGCAAAACAAAGACTGACATTACAGATGTAAGAATGTAAGACAGCAACTAACTAGTCAAAATTTCCACAATAAAGCCACAATAGCTGCAGCTTTCTGACACCTTCAGACTAGGTGTCACATAGTACGTCAAAGCTAATTCTCCTTTGCAATCACTTACTAATGAATCATTCATTATATTATGTTTATATGTTTTCATATATTTTTTGACATTCAAGACATTTATAATGTAACAAAATATGTCTAGTTCAAATAAATGCTGTGTTTGAACTTTCTATTCATCAGAGAATCCAAAAAAAAAAAAAGTTTTCAACATCGATAATAACAAGAAGTGTTTCTTAAGCATCAAATCATACTGTGTATTGGAATGGTTTCTAAAGGATCACATGACTGAGATTGGAGAAATGTCTGCTAAAAATTTAGCTTTGCCATTAGCGGAATAAAATACATTTTAAAGGGGTCATATGATGCGATTTCGATTTTTCCTTTCTCTTTGGAGTGTTACAAGCTCTTGGTGCATAAAGAAGATCTGTAAAGTTGCAAAGACTAAAGTCTCAAATCCAAAGAGATATTGTTTATAAAAGTTAAGAGTCAGCCACGCCTACCTAAAACGGCTCGTTCTAACACGCCCCAACATACCTACATCACTATGTGGGAAGATTTGCATAACGCTGCCCAAATGTTCACGCAAAGAAAGAAGGCGTAACTTTTATTCTCGCTGTTGCCGCCTCCGCCATGTCGTGAAGGCACTGTGTGATTCGTTGTGAAAGCGAAACTACTTTGTTTGGCCTTCCAAAAGAGGACGATATCTGCTTTGTCATGCCTGGAGCTGATCCGTGCTGGTTGCTGAGGAAATACTACAACTTTGCGCAGTTGATCACCGGATCGGCTTTCACCGTGGACGAAACGGAGCCCAGCCCAGAGTCATCACATGTCCTTCTGGACGCTCCGCCGCCGCTCACTCGAACCCTCCGGCCGTTCCTCACACTAGCCCCTGGCCTCTGCTCGCTGTAGGCCGCCGCTGCTCACTCTAACCCTCCGGCAACGCGCGTAAAAAGACATTATAATCCATAATTATGTCCCCACTGGATGCAACGAATGCCTCGTTTATAAGAAGACTTGTCTCAGCATTTAACTTGGAACTGACATTGACCTTGGTCTAGAATATCATGAGTGTCTTTTTAAGGCATTTACACTATGTAGCAGTTTGCTTTCAAGCACATGTTTGGGCCCAAGGTACCCTTTATGAACTTCAGTTTTATAATTACTTTGACCTTTCGTGTCATGCACAGAATTTTTTAGACTCGCTGTTGCACAACAAAAAAATCTCACGAGACACAAACATGCAGTAATAAAAAGCAGCCAAAGGCAATAAACATGTTTTACATCTATCATCTGTTTATTATTCTGAAGTATGTACCAAAATAATTGCTATACGTAAAAATAGCATTCTGCATTGTTTAACTAAGTACAAATGTTTACAGTCAAGCATCACTAATTGTACAAAAATAACAACACAATAAAGATACAAATAATGAAGAACAGAACATCCTCACGTCAGTGTGCAAACCGTTTATACAGACGGAAATGCCTCTTTCTCAGGTGGCACTCCATGATAAATTATTTAAATAGCATTTATCTACACACACATATGAAACAGTCTTACAAACAGAGACAACAAATAAAGCAATAATTTATCAACTTAAAAAAAAAGTACTGGACATTTGAAGCACTGGCAAATGTATTCCTTAAACAAATGTTGTGTTCCTCTATTTTCCATTGGGATGTGGGGCTGGCTGTTTGTTCTATATACTATTTACAACTTGTGCTACAGTAGCAATAAGGCAACCAATCTGTTTTCTTGAAGCAAAGGAAAAAGTACTTTTAAGTTTTTGCTTGATCAAATTACAAAACAGCAATGAGGTAATATTTGTACATTAAAGTTTTCCTTTATCTCTCTCTCTACAGAAAAGGCAAACAGGTCAGACGATCATCTCCTTTGGAAGTGATGGATGATTGGTTCTTGACTGGAAAGGTCTGGATGAGTAGTTTTAGACAGAACCTTGGTTATGAGAGTGTATTTTTCTTTTAAATGTTGAAATAGTTGTTTTTAGTGAGGGCAATCTTTAGAAATACCCTCGCTTTTGCTTCTTGAAGCAAAATCACAGCACTTAAAGTGTTTTATAAGTGCTACATAAATATATATAGAAAAAGTCTAAAAGACTTAAACTCAATTTAGAAATTAGCATCTCAAATAAAACCTCACACTAGAGTACTTGGTAATCTAGTATCCATATGTGGTGAGTCTTTAAACCTTGGTCTGTCCAATTCCTCTTCGTACAACCTTTCATTATGCCATTTCTAATGAATATGTTAAAATGGTTTAACCATCTAGCCCTGAGAAAACTATGCCCACTAAACCATAAGTTATCTCCCGCCAGACCTTAATGGATGTTCATGATACTTAAGATGTGACTGCTAAGCGAAACTTTAGATAGATAAACAGAAATTTAGATAAAAATCAATAAATGACAGATTTGTCCTTGTAAAATCACCTGCTTAGACTGTCAGCAAAAACAAAAACAGTATTCTTTTACTTATACAATGTTTTTAAACCATTTGTTGTTGCTTCAATACATTAAACATTCACAACTCTTTTTTTTGTTGTTGTCAAGAAAATGGTTTAAAGTTTTGATAAAATACTGAGTATTATAATAGTAATCTTTTTTTAAAGGGTTGTGCTCTCTCTAAGGTAGCCCTAATTTGGACACCTGTTCAGGAAGAGAGCATGAAAACACATGAGAGAGAGAGAGCAAAGGTTTTGAAGTGCATAGCTGTCTGTTGGGAGCTCTTCCCACACAGAGCCGAATGAGGTTTTTCAGAGTGAGATCTCAGTCTTCCCAATTAAGCAAAGCGAGGGAGACTTTCTTCTGCTCTGCCTGCTAATGGTGGAGGAGTCCAGATTCTGCATCGGAAGCCACTTGGTTTCTATCCCAACCAGTGACAGTTACATTGAAATTGACTACCTGCTTTCTCACTCCACCAGTGTGTGAGCGGCAGCAGAAAAAGTAGCATCAAATCGGTCCCTGGACTTTGCCTGGAATACATATTTATACGGAAAGGTGCATTCTTTGATCAACTTCCTGCCTGTGCAATTACACATCTGAAAAGGAACAGAAAGACAGGAAGTGTTAATGATGAATATGAATAAAAGCAAGCAAACTTTTATTTGGATCTCTATGGGATGTTGACGCTCACCTCTGCATTCATATTTGAGGTCTGAGAAGTACACCATCTCTTGTGAGAAGACAAAGAGACCCAGTCTTCCGCCTGCGTATGTTTTGTCATAAATTCTTCCAGAATCTGCCATGATCTTTTTGCCTTCATACATGACCACTCTGAAATACATATATATAAATAATTATTAAAATACATATAAATAACATTTTTTTTTTCTCCAGAATTAGCTTCCATTATCTTTTTAGTAATACCTTATGTGCCCAGTTCTTGGTCTATGAGTCAAGTGCCATCTGTAAGCAGTGAAGTCCTTCCATCCCACATTCTTTGGGTCGTGCCACAGTGTGCGCACCTAAAATAGATCACGTACATAAATGTTGGCCTTCATATGAAGGGTTTTTCAAACCTGATTTCATCACAGTGACCTTGTTGAAACGCACCTGTCCTGGAGTGTCTCCGGTGTGCCAGAGGGCGTTCCTCAGATGCTCGCCTGGCCCTGTGGTGGAGTTAGCCACTTTGATTGACAGCCCTGAGTAACCCTGTGCCTTGGTAGGTGTGCTGGACCAGTAGGTTTGTGTGATCTGCTTCCACATGACCACGTAGAAGCGAGAGCTGGACTGGTATCCGAAAACGAAGCCAGCGTAGTCATCATCCCTATCCGTGTTGATGAAGAATGTTCCACTGAAGTCGACTGAATTAAACTCATCAAAACCTTTAAAGAAATTTGGGAAAAAAAGTCAGAATTTATACATATTTTAAATTTACTGGCTATACATGTTTTGTTTTTGATTTGTGGCCATTTGCATTTTAATTTGATTATAATTAGAAAATGTCAAATGTCAATGATAATGTTTCAGTTTTTCCTAGTTATATTAATTTGTATTTTTGTTTTATTTTTTGTTCATGAATAATGAACAAAAAGTTGTATTAAATATTGTCTGTTTCCGCAAGCTAAGGTACTGTGCAGGATTTTCTACTTAATTTATGATATTAATTGATATTTTAAACACCGCCTATTAATTTTACATGTGCAAGGTATTATATTTATTCTTGCTTATGTGAAATTTAATTCTGTTTTTTTTTTAAAGACTGAACTTACCAACAGCAATGCCGGGGTCGCAGTTGACTGTCTGAACCAGTTCTTTTCCTTGGTGACGAACCACCCAGTTGGGGTCGATCTGAGAAGTGCCCTTGGGATCAAGAGGAACCATCTGGAATTTGCGGAAGTCGGTTTCACTGATGTCAAAGTTCTCTGGACAGACATCATAGATATCTAGGACATTGTCTTGGTCAAAGTCATCTTTGCAGGCATCACCACGTCCATCGCCTACAAATGGAGAAGTTAAACCAGTAAGTATAAATCTTAGCATTAATGAGTGCAATAGTTATGAATATTCAGTTGTAAAACTGACCATCAGAATCCAGTTGATCTGGATTGGGAACCAATCTGCAGTTGTCTTTGTCATCAGGGATGCCATCATTATCATCATCATAGTCGCAGGCATCTCCTTTACCATCCTTGTCGTGATCAGCCTGGTTAGCATTAGGAATGTATGGGCAGTTGTCCAGGTTGTTTTGGTGACCGTCCTCATCGATATCCTGGTTGCTGTCACATTTGTCTCCGACACGGTCAGAATCGGAGTCGAGCTGTTGGAGTGAAAGTGTAGAATCAGTAAATGCAGATGTCTCAGATTCTCTTTAAAGTAAAGTTCTATGGCTTTCTTAATTAAATTATTCCCACCAGAATGGGTCTTTTTCTAAAAGGCACAAACTTCTGTCCTAGTTGGCCCATCTGTGTAGGCTTTTTCAGAAAGCAATCTCATGTTGCTGAAGCCTCGCACTACCATAGTCACATTTCAGCGTCTAATGAGGAGGGGTGCATTCCGTCTCTTCAGTTAACCATGGCACAGGTGTGATCCGCAGGGATTGAGTGCCGACAGGGCATGCATAAACCCACCGGCAAATCTCTCGCTCCTTACTAATAACCATTCTTTACCTCTGCATATCCTTTGGGTTAATTGAACACTAGTGAGTGTCCCTGAAAAGCCTCCTAGTGCTTTATTGTGTGGCTTTGGATTCAAGGAGAAGAGGATTTTCTCCTCCCATACATAGCTTAGTAAAGACTGCGACTACCCTCTGGGTATTTTTTTAGCAATGGCTCTGAAGCTGAACTGAACAGCTCATAGATCTCTGTGGATTATATAATGGTTTGAAAGCACCTGCGGTATTCACTCACTCATTTAGGTCTCACATATACATACCTGGTCTGGATTGTGTTCCAGAGGGCAGTTGTCACACTGGTCACCAACTCCATCGAGATCAGTGTCTTTCTGGTCGACGTTGTACAGATATGGGCAGTTGTCGTTCTCATTCAAAATACCTGTCAAAAAGAATGACATAATGGTGACGATTGATTGAAAACGCACTGGAAAGTGTCAGGGTGATTCTCGCGAAACCCATCAAGAAAATATCCAGGTCATAACTTACTTCACAATCGAAAGAGAGAACGAACAAAAGAATTAAAAAGAAAAAGAGAAAGAAATTATTATATTTTGCTGTTATTAGTTTGTTTAATATTAATATTTGTATTTAATATTTTTATACAAAAAGATTTTTGTTCTCATATTCTCATTACCATAATACCAAAGAAGACATGTATCATTTTCTCATTACTGTTATGTGAAGAAAATTGTATATTATTTGAATGCTAGGATTTTTGTTGTACTTTTTACCGCCTTCAATTTATGCATTAATAGTTTTAAATAAATAAAAAAAGCTGTGAAAATTAAAAAAAATTAAAATATTGAGAGTATTAATAGTATTACAGTACTGAGAATTGGTCGTGTAAAATATGCTAAAGTCCTAAAAGTGTGACAATGCCAAAAAAAGGCTTTGTTTTCTTTATACAAAATAAAATGTATCTTATTTCTTTTGATTATGGAGTGAAATATGGATGTATTCTTGGCAGGTTTATCAAGGAATGTCTATGTATGGATAAACAAATAGAACACAGTTTCGTACCATCTCCATCAATGTCCACAGCACAGGCGTCACCTTCGCCATTGTTGTCAGTGTCAGTCTGGTCTGGGTTGCTGTTGTATGGACAGTTATCGCAGCGGTCTCCCACGTCATCGCGATCATAGTCATACTGTCTTGGGTTGAAGATGAGTGGGCAGTTGTCCTATTTTAAAAGACACCGCAGTTCAGATATAGAAACATATGGCAAATAACAGTCGTGCAATTCTCCATAGGGCCTGCTCACACGAAGGTTATTACTAGATAATAACCTATGTAAAATATGTAGTAATACATAATTTGTATTACTACAAATTACAAGTTAGGCTTGTAATTTGGCTGCAGCTGTGTAGGTCTATTTCGAGGAGTGCAATGATAAAAGCTAGCCTTATTTTAGGAATTGGACCAAGGATAATATTGAATTAGCAAGATACACTGCAGGTCTTTCAGAAAGGTACTTCTTTGAGGTTTGTTTCCAAGAGAAACTGAGTTTACTTTACACAGCCCTTTTTTTTCCACACCTCAGACTGTAAGCTATGTAAAATCTGGGTGGATTTACTTTCTTCATTCACGCACGGTGCAAAATGTACAAAAAGGCACTTGACTGGAATGAGCACCTATGGAATATACTGTATAGACATTAGATATTGATATTTTACCCTGTCATCAGGAATGCCATCGTCGTCATCATCATTATCACAAGCATCACCAATTCCATCCTTGTCATAGTCCTCTTGCCCAGAATTGGGAAGATTGGGGCAGTTGTCCTTAAAAAAAGAGCAGTAGTATATGAATATAAACACTAGCCACAATGATGTTATTTGTATAACAAATATATAACAAATAACAAATAAAGCCAATATATGCCAACCTTCTTGCATTGATAGGTTGCATTCTCGACACACACAAGATCAGCATTTGGCCAGCCATCAAGATCAGTGTCCTCTCCACAGAT